CCGATACAAGAAAAGTAAGATTGACAAACAAAGAGAATCGTAGAATGGGAACACAAGTACACACCCACATAATAACACCCAGCACAGGGAACTTTCCGCCAACGAAAAGAGGGCTACATCAAGAAGCTCGAGCAGCAGGTTCGCGACTTTATGGAGATGGAGTCCCAGTATAAGCAGCTCCAGTCAGAGAGCTATGCGCTCCGCGAATACGTCATCCACCTGCAGTCGCGCATGCTCGATACCCAAGGCGAATACCCCCAGCCCCCGCCCAACGTCAACCTCAACCAGCCCCCACCGCCTCACCTCGCACAGGGTCCCCCGGCGCATCAGCTTCAAGGCACCGACGCTATTCCCGGCTCGCAGCCGCCCCACGCCGTCCCTGAGCAGCAGCAACAGCAACAGCAACAGCAGCAGCAGCAGCAGCAGCAGCAGCAGCAGCATCAGCAACAGCAGCCGCCGCCGCAGCAGCCAGAGCCCGTCCAGCAGCAGCCGCTCCCAGCCGCCACCGCGCCACCGCCCCCGCCAACGAACGACTCGGCTGTCGGCACACCCCTCGAGGCCGTTGCGCAAGCCGTCGCTGGTCTCGCAGCGCAGGAACAGATGGCCGAACGCCAAAACTACCCAGGCGGCAAGGACTATCGCCCGGACGCGGACATTGAGATCAAGGCGGACATGGAGACCGACCCGCAGCTGCGTGATGACAGCATGCAAGCCCCGACCGCCTCGATGTAGGAGTATCCAGATCCGGACTTGGGGTAGATGACCATGTGGTCTTGTGTCACTTGCCATGGGTTTTTTTTTGCGCGTGTTTATAATACTGTTCTGGCGTTGCGTTGAGGGGTGACCGATCATGTGCTCTCCCCCCCCACCCCTGTCTATTTGCTAAACTGAATTGGAGAACGGCGTTCCTATTACTGGGGGGGTTCAGATGGGGCTCGAGTCTTCGATGAGTGCGGATGCGCTTGCGTCTATGGGCCTTGCTTTTTCGAGAACTGTCGAGCCAGGAGACGATGTATGGGCGGGCGGGCTTTGCGCAAGGCATACCCAGTGTTTGATAGTCAGTGCTGCTCTTCCAAGACGGCCAGTTCGCCATGTCACCGAATTTCTTTCCTTGTGCCTCGCCGCCGTTGTGAATGCATATTTTGCCTCGATCTTCGTGCTCTGCAGACGATGGCGCGTTGGGAGATCACCACTGTCACAAAGCTGGAGGCAGCGCATTGATCTACTGTATCGGGACTTTATTACAAACTGACTGTTGATACAGTCCAGGCGTACAAGGAGAGCGAGAGCACGTGGATCTGAAGCTGCGCGACCCCTCACCATCCTCGCGATATCGGAAGCACTAAACAAAAAACCTCGGAAAACGAGTAATCACTGACAAAGCGCTGCACTTTCTGCTTCGTGGACTCCTCGCCCGGAACCCGTCTGGAGTCCCCTCATTCCCGGATTTTGAGTAACTGTCTCGTAGCTAAGGTCTAGAGAGACAGACATCTGAGCGTCCTTGACGAATCTGGGAGTACCTTCGCTGCTTGTCACAGAGGCATCGAGGTGGACGCGTCATCTGCTGGCTTCATGTTCTGACGAGTGCGATCTTTCAAAGGCCTGTCCCAAAACCGGCTCCTTCATGGCCTTACACCTTGGCATTTGGACTAGTGTCAACGGTCCTTCAGTCTTGTTGTTCTTCGGTCTGGAAATTGGTGCATCTCACAGCCAGGTATGTGTCCCGAGCGGACCTTGTCAAGAACAGGGCCCATCTCCGGGTAGCCTGGAGGCAAGTCATGAGGAGCACTGAAGCTCCGCTTGTTGCCAGTGCTGAAATGATGGCATCAAGACATCGCTCATGGCAATGGAAAGGACGACTCATGAGCAGCTCTAGAACTCCCCAAGTCCCCACACGTGAATCACTGGAGACAAACCACCATGGGGACAAGATTCTTCGAATCAAATTCAAGTTGCTCTTTTGGGGCCCCAAAAAGAAAAGAAAACAAACACTGTCAACACCCCTCCCTTTCACGTCCCGCCCAGCCCGAAAACGCCATACTCATACAGGGGGACAGTTGTTCCCCAAATCATGCTCCTACATACATACGGTCAGTATTGTTCACATTGTCAACGAAGATGGAAGCAGGAAAAAAAAAAAAAGTCTCACCTTGAGGTACTCGTGCCCCTTTTCCTCGTACTCAGCCTTTGTCACAGCCGCCGCCTTCCACGCGTCGCCGCCGCTCCACTCGGCGGCCCCCCTCCACGCATCGAGCAGCGGATCTGCCGCGCGACGCGTGCGCAGCGGCGAGCCCGCCGGCAACAGTGCCGCGAGCCCGTCGCGCAGGCGCTGGTCAAAGTTCTTGAAGAGCGTGTTGCCGCCCGTCAGGAAGACGTCTTTCAGAAAGGCGTCGCTGCCGCCGACCTGGTCGACGAGGCGGTGGGTCAGGATGTCGCCCGTGATCTCGACGAGGCCGGCCTGGTCAACGCCGGCGATGGAGGGCCGGAAGACGACCTCGGGCACGCGGATGCGCTCGACGTTGAGGTGGATCTGGTTCGCCTCGGCCTGGGACGCCGTGTCGAAAGGGCGCGGCCCCCGGGCAAAGGCGTGGAGCATCGACTTGGACCAGTCGACGCTGGGCCTCGTGCGTGTGCTCGTAGGTAAAATCTGGGGTCGTAAGCGGAAGGGAAGGTCGTGCTCGTAAAGAACTTTGAGGTTTGAATGCAAAATCTTTCCTCC